ACGGCCAGCGCGTGCTCAACCGTCTGCGTGCCTCGCCTCGTCCCGCGGTACGCGGCGCCATGGCGGGAGGCCTGGAGTCGCTGGAGTCATGCTTGGAGCAGCACATCCCGCCCGAGGACCTCGCCGAGGTGAAGCGGATCCTCTACGGGGGTGAGGCAAGGTGCGCTACTAGGGCGGGCTCGACTCCCTCTCCCCCGCGGAGGGGTGTCCCGTCCCGTCTCCCTCCTCCCCCTCAGTCTCCGTAGGGATGCCCAGCATTGAGGGGGGAAGAGTCAGTTTGAGGATGGATGCACAGGACACAGGGCTGGGCTGAAAGGAAAAAGAAGGGTAGGGCCTGTGGTGTTTGTGGTAATGCAGTGAGATTAGGCTGTGGTGAGATAACTGGGGTAGTTTGGAGGTAACCCAATTTTGGGGAGCAGGGTGGTAGAGAGGTCGTATGAGGAGGTGGCTGCCTGGAATGAAGGACCTGAGGGGGACAGTTTTGAGGTGGGGCTGGGGAGGTCGTGACTTTGGGGTGAGGGAACTGGAAAAGTAGGGATCTAACATGAGGAAAAATACATCGGAGGGAAAGTGTTTGTAATCTGAGTGGTGGCAGATGAAAGTTTGTATGTATGTGCTCCTTGATTTCTGTAGCAAAGTAATAGTGTCTGGAAATCACAATTACAGAGGAGGACATTGGGAGTTTTGTGCCTTGGAGGAGAGCAGTGGGATTTGCACATGACCTGGCTAAAGTCTTGACAGTTCCCTTGTCTGATAGTTGTGTTTGGGGGCATGGGAGCTTGGGTGTCTCTGCAGGGGCAGACGGTATTTGTGATCCATTTGATCCCTTGTATTCAGAGCAGAAAAGGAGAACATCTCATCTTAAAATGTCTTTGTTTCCCATTCAATCCAGAAAACTTAATTTGCCAGCTGCTGCTCTATCTGCAGCTCAGGAAAGAGACTTTGAGCTACAGGGCTATGGATTTGAAGCTGCTCCAGAGCAATTGAGAAGGCCACGTATTGTTCGAGTAGGACTGGTACAAAATAAAATTCCACTTCCCACAGACACAGCCGTGGCAGTCCAGGTACACAAACTGGGATCTGGGCCATTTGTGTGTAACTCCTCTTTTACTGGCTTGAGAAATAGCACGCTTCAGTTGTTAATGTTAGAAACTCCATCATGAAATGTCTGCTGATTGTCTGGCCATATAGGACACATCACTATCTTAATACAGCATACTGTAAGAAATTCAAATGACACATTCAATTTTATTGTTTCTCAAAAACATCTCTTGTGTTGTGTTTACTTAGTGAATTGCCCAACCTGTTTGCAGTTTTTCCAAAGCTAAATATTTAGTCGCTGATTTTGTACATGAAAATCCTTTGCCTCTAAAACAAAACACAAAATCATTTACCCAAAATCAAAAGAGACGGCAGCCCATGGAAACCACAGGTGCAGTTCTTGTTTTAATTGAGAAATGTTCCATTATAGGAAAATCCATTAGAGTAAACACAGATTAATAAAGCTGTGTTCATTATTCTTTGTACAGCAGTAAACAAAATCTTATTACAATGTGACCGTCATCTCCTAACATCTTGGACACAAAAGCACTGAGGTGCTGTATATCAAAATATATCAAAATAGCCCCCTAAAAAAAAGTGAAAGAAAATACACATTTATAAAATCTCCTGGAGTACTAGTTTTGTACAGTGTCAGGACAGAACATTTCTGAGATAATTAGTTTTGGAAAGATTACCTGTTACAGATGCAAGAAGTTTATTTGGTATATGGATCAAGTTTGTGGATTCTTTGTAGCATCTGTTAAAAAGACTACCAGTTACATTAATGATTTTTCCTTATAAAGGACTAGTTAACTATTTCTGTAAATCAGTGTACAGTTGTTGAGTTCATAGGTTAACCTGTCTTGGTTTTTTTTTATTGACACCCGAAAGTATCAATGTGAAGTGCTACGCCTGTGCTTATCTCTAAGTAGAATACTCAAGAAAAAAGTACTTTGAAACAATGTTTTCTTACTAATTAATGAATGCTTTGATGTTTTTTTCTTGGTAATAATCTACTTAGCTCTTTGGACAGAGGGATATAGAAAACAGTTTGGAGTTAGTAACTTCTAGAGAGTGTCCAAGATCCACATGTGTGAGCAGGATTCAGAGATAACCAAGGAAACGGACTGTCCTTAATTCATATTTTAAGATTACGAGTACTTGACTTTGAATTCACGTTTACTTAACATCGTTCTGTAGGTTTTTCACAATGAGCAGCAAAATTATAATTTTTCCTGATTCTGTTAAGATTTTATAGCTATTTGCAAGTCAGCAATGAGTTGCCATGTATTTAAATGTTGTAACTATGGAATTAGAAATCCATTGGATTCCATTCCATTTTCGGCATCTAAATGCTTTCAAAAATTTGTATCTAACTCTGTTGTCAGTGCTCAGGAACGATACATTCTTGAGTTATTCCCCCTAAAAGAAATGGGACTAAGTATAGAACAAGATAAATTTAATGTGAACGAAGCTTGTAAAACCAGGCTATTAATATACATGTGAGTTAGAACATACAGCTTTTTTAATAGCGTAACACTTCTCACAATCAGGTGGCTGCACTGCACAGACGAATTGAGGAGATTGTGGAAGTAGCTGCAGTGTGTGGGGTCAACATAGTTTGTTTCCAGGAGGCTTGGAGTGAGTATTTTCTGTGATTCCTTCTAGGTTGTCAGAGGTCAAGTTCCTTCTATTTTAACAGGTATCCTGTAATAGAAGTATGTCTTGTAAGTAAACAGCAGAGATCTTCCAAAATAAAACAGTTGACTTTACTGATTTGCTTTCTAAAGGAAAAAACAAAGACTCTTAGCGGAATTGTATGGAGGACATATGTGAAGCCTGTTATATTGAAGAGTGGTGTATGCTGCAACAGTGGTATTTGTAGGTGTGCTCTTTCTTCGTGTCAGTCTTTGTGATCTTTGCCTCACTTTTTTTTTCTCCTAAAACTTTGGGTTTTATCTAGACAAATACTAAAATTTAAAAAAATAATTTTAATTAAACTGGAGTCTTTGAGGCTTAATAGATGTCAGAACCAAAATGAGTTGTGAAAACAGGTTATTCACAGAAAGTGTACACTAGTGACTGGGGTGTACAATTTTTACCTCCAGTAAGAGTTCACTAAGTGCTTTCCTTCTTTTCTGCCTTGCTCTGTGTGGATCCAAAACTCCTTGCCCTTGCTAAAAATATTTTTAAATAGCTTTTTGCCTTTAAACAAGGGAAACAGTTGAATCAGTCTTGAGTGTTTAATTTATATGTATTCCTGCAAACAGTATGTATTTCTTGAGTGACATGAACACCCTTGTAAATTTTTTGACTTGCATTGGTGTTTTCCAGCCATGCCCTTTGCTTTTTGTACAAGAGAGAAGCTTCCTTGGACTGAATTTGCTGAGTCAGTGGAGGATGGGCCAACAACAAAATTCTGTCAAGAGGTAAAAAAACCCCAACATCAAGCAAACTTCCACACACACATCCAGCCTCCAACCCCAGCCCATAATTGCCACTGCTTAGCATGGATTTCTTCTTTATGTACTGGTCTTAGACCACTGAGAAAACTGAAATAATAAAAAATAAATTTCCACCTTGCTTAACAAATATTATGATAGTGAGTGAAGTAGAAATGGACTAAACTGTACTCAATATTTATTTTTTAAACTACTTCGCATTTATAGACTGCCTTGTACCGTGGAAGGCATATGAAACTGCCTGTTTAACTATTCCTGAATTGTACAAGGGAGGATGATTCTTCATACAAATATTTTAAATTTTCCTTTAAAAGGTGTTTCTTGCCTAGAACAGTTGAACATTAAAAAAATGCTTATATGAAGGTGTGAGGAGAATAATAGCTAGCCTATCCTGAACAGGGAACACTTTCACACAAATCTCTTGCATCTCCCTGTGAAATGACACAAAATATAGGGGGCTTTTTATGGAGCCAAGGAGATTTGTTATTGTCTGGCTCTTATTTTGCCAGAGACTGTTGATTGCAATGGTGACAGAGTTTATTTTTGTTTCCTGACAACTATTTTTTTTAATAAGGAATTTCATTTATTTTCTTTTATGAATGATCAAAACAACAAAAGGTTGTTTTGATGTCAAATTTGCCCAGATATGCACTGACCTATTAAGCTTTTGTAGACAGCAATTCTTCAGTCTGATCTAGGGCAAGTGCTGTGCTGGTTCTCACTATGGAATTAACGACACTAGGGAAGTTTGGAGAAATAAAGAGAAGTGATTTGAAGGAAAAGACAGTGTACTAGTAAACTGGCAGTCAGAAGTTGCTATGTTCTCACTCACATGTGTTATGTAACATTTATTGTTAACATGTAATGGTATTTTACATTTCCATTTTTTCTTTTTCTCTCTCTCCCCCTCTGTTTTTCCAAATAACAGTTTTCAGCTAGTTGTATATACCATGGGAATGAAAGAATGGGATGGGATCTATCTCCTTTTATACCTGTGAATAGATACAAGGACAGCTCCATAGTTTGACCATTGCTGTTAGGATGCTTTTTTTTCCTGTGATACCTTGCACTTCTAGTTGAAGGATTCAGAATGTGTCATCTTTGATGAAAATACTGTGGTGATGTGGGCATGCCAGTGTGGGTTAAGCATTAGCCCTTGATAACAGTCAGGGTAATGTACCAGGTGAAAATTTTTAGTCCTTCTTTATGAACAAAAATCAAAATAATTACTGCAGGCTTGTGTATAATAGAAGAATTGTGCTTATTTGTATAGCTGGCAAAGAAATACAATATGGTTTTGGTATCTCCGATCCTGGAGCGAGATGAAATACACGGGGGAACTCTGTGGAATGCTGCAGTGGTCATTTCTAATTCTGGAGCTGTCCTTGGCAAAACTAGGAAAAATCACATTCCAAGGGTTGGAGACTTCAATGAGGTAAGATTCAGCATTATGATTATCAAGCTAGTCTCATTTTGCAGCTCTTGTTCGTGTCAGCATGTGTTTTATCAGAGTCATATTGGCAGGAAGTGTAATGTATTTCTAGAAAATGTGGTTCAGTAAGTGTCAAATCAGTGTTTCTCAGGTGAAATTATAGTAAGTTAATTTATCGAGAATAGAGAGTATGACCCTTAAAGGACAAATAACATTGAGTCTTTGTCATGTACTCTTCCTTGGCCTGATGGAAACTACAAAAGTATTGAGGATCTTTAAAACAAAATTCTCTAAGTCTTAGCTTTATGTTAGTTGTGCATGATTGGCTCCGATAGTTTTTGCATGTGTGCCTGTTGAACTTATCTTAATTTGGAAGGCAATTGTTTCATTGTTCAGATGTGAGTATTATTTATGGTCTTGATCTCTGTTTCTCTGTGAGGTTGTCTTAGAAGTGACTGTTCTTTTGCTAATGTTTCTTTGAGCAGAATCCCTTAATTCATTATGCTTCTGAGTGAATAGCTGGTTTACAGCATCTTCTGTTTACTAATCACGTTATTTCCACTGAAGCCCCCAGCAGTTTTTAGGCCGTCCTCCAGAATCAGCTTCAGAAACTGAACTGGTCATAAAGGTGATGTCAGAAGAAAACTAGTAGATCTGAAATGTGTTTATCCACCCATAGAATTATCACAAGCAGAAAGATCAGGAATTAAAAATTAACCAAAGTCTAAAAATATATTGTTTTATCTAACTAAATCTCTCCTTGTCAGCTAAAGTGAGTAATTAACAGAGGCATTTTCTCTAAGCACTGGGGGCTATATACCTGCAGTTGGTTTTGTTCCCTGTCTGAATGTTCCAGTCGCTCAACTGAGGCTTCAGAATCCAAACTATTTTTTTATTTATTCTAAAAGGGGTTTTTTGTGTCTTGAAACTTTGTGGTCAAAGACCTCTGGAAGTTTTGACCTCGGCTCCCAGACCTGATCAGACTGGCTGATCAGAGGAGGCTGTTAATAGGTTTCTACACAATGGATTACTGGTACAGGCCTGTCAGTCACCAGTGTTGACTTCTATCTTTAACAATTATTTTGATATTTAATATTATTTTATCAGATCTGTCTTTTAGCTAGCAAAACAGTAGCTAACAAACCTGTATAAAATACAAGCACTAATAAAAATGAATTTTGGGTACTTTCCATATTCTTGATTTGTTTCTTGTGTAATCAAACAAAAAATAAAATCCTGTTGCTTATGCTAAAGTACGGTGTCTTTCAGTTTTCCAAACAGTGTTTTGTGGAGCATCGACATATTCCAAGAAACTTCTTGTTTCCAGCTGTGAAACTATAGTGAAAGGCACCTAAAGAAAATATTTTTACTTTTCCATGTGAAGTATAAATAGAGTTTCATTAAGAGTTTTGCATAATTCCTAAAAGGAGTTAGCTCTTGTAATCCTAAATGCCAGAATTACCACAAAACAATATGTTTATATCTTGCAGGTATACTATAATGATTTGACATTTCTTGTTGTATCTCCCTCATTATAGAAGCAAGTAGTGTTTACCCAAACAGTGCTGTCTGTTTAGCTGGTTTTGTTAGCAAAGCATTAAGTCCATTCTTCTGAGCTGAGCAGTTCTGATAAAGGAACTTTAGAAACCACCAAGAGTACAGGGAAGGATTATGCTCATCTCTGTTACTTTAATACTGTTTTCTTTATCAACAATGTTAACCCCCAAGGAAGGGTTGAATTTGAAATTATTTTTTGTGGATTGTCTCTGTAGAGCAGATAGGGAAAGGAGCCTTGTTAAAATCACCCTTGTTGAATGGGTGAGAACTAAATGGAAAAGATACTGGTCTGTAACCTATTCAGCCATGTGTGGGAGGGCATATAAATAAACAAAAATCAATCCTTCTTGAGACATCACAGTTTGTTGCTGTGGAGATGATTGTGACCTCTGGTGAGGAGTAAAGAAATAAGAACTGATGAATTCCCTGAAGCAATAGCATTTTTGTTTTTCTTCTCCTATTGTAATAAAAGAAAACTGAGAATAGAAGAAAAAATGGAAATATATTCAATCAGCAGAATTGTTTTGAAAAAGGATTGTATGAGTGCCCACTGTGTGGTATGCTCTCTACAGACATGAAAGGAGGTAAAATCAGTGCCCAAGGGACTGTGCAAATTCATGAGACCTGATACTAAATAAGAAACATGAGATGTCACATTTACTGGGCATACTGAGCCTCTAGTCCTTGGTTTCAGAGGATGATCCCCCTGTATCTATCGTGCCATTCGCCTACACTTAGATGAGGCCCTAGTTTGTTCCTCAGCTGTAGCTGCTTGCTTTAGGCCTGATGTAGTTCTGCTTCCTTCAGGACCAATGGCAGTGGTTGTTAAAATGGACAGATAGTTTCAGCAAAAAGGGAATTGTTTTACAACACACCTTTCTTATATGATAAGAGGCACGCCCCTTTGGGTCAGGCTGGTCAATTATGTACCTTGCTTTTCTGTTTCTGAGATCATCACAAAAAAGTACTATTAGAAATAAGTCTGGCCACTCTGCAACTTCTGTACTCCCATGGTATCCACAGTCATTGTATTAGAGATGTTGGGTGGCATGTTCCTTTCTATTTCATTTCTTATCTGTGGTTCTTTTATCAATGACTGTGTAATCCCTTCTGAACCTGGTGGTAATACTTTACTTTCACAAAGAAGCAAATTTCATAAGTGCACTGCCTGCTACATGAAAAAGTTACTTTGCTTTAAAACAGGAGTGTAATTTCAGGCAATACCCACTATCGCTGCTGCTTTGGGATTTCTGTATTCATCTTATCCACTGCCTTTGTAATTTTGTAAATCTCATTCATGATATCGCCCTCAGCCTTCTGTCTGCAGATTGAAGAGCCTTTTTAGTTTCTCCTCACAAGAGAGCTGCCCCATCCCCTTCAGTGTTTCAGTGGCCTTTGCTTATTCCATCTCTAGTATATCCTTATGGAGATGCGACACTAGAATTGCCTAGAGTACTCAAGCCATGGACACACAGAGTTCTTATAAACAAGCAAAATGATGTTTTCTGTTATGTTTCATTACTCTTCCCATTGATGTCTGAGATTTTCTTGGGTTTTTTACTATCACTGAGCACTAAACAGGCAACTGTCAGTGACTCCACACATACCCTTTTGTTGTATCTGGGAAGAATCATTTCTGTACATTTCATTTAGACTATCTCTGTGATTGTTTCCCTGTCTTAATAGCTGTTAACAATGCCCTGTCTTCTTCACTAGTGCCTTTTACAGGAACCAGTACATTTCTAATTGTTTGCAAATGTTCGATATGAGGAGAGTTCACAGCATATGGTAAATGGGACCTTTTAAGCCAACAGTTGGCTGCAGTTACTTTAAGGAGTGTTCCCTAGATTTATCCTGTGATTTTCCTGGTGGTAGTTTCAGGCCTTCTGTTTGTTTAGAGCAATAGGCATATAGGAAATTCAAATAACCAATCATAGCTATACACTGATATTTCCTTATAGCATTCATAAAATTACTTCATGGTGTTATATAACAGGTGAGTGTAAAGGAATTCTGTGTTCTTTAAACAGTGTTCACCATCTCTGTCTTTAATCAGAATCAAAGGTTTATGATGACTTAGGAAAATTTTCTTATGTGGTGAAAGTACCAAGAGAGGGACCTAAAGTTTCACAATTTGTGGATCTCTCTTAAGCTTTTGTAGAAGTTTCTAGCATTAATAGAGGTGTTTATGTCAAAGTCAGACAGCTTAGGTGGAGTATGAGTGAAGGGAACCAGAAAGGAAAGGGGCTTGAATTTGATCTCAGCAGCCTGAAAGCGCCACTTCTTGCTATATACCCGTTACAGTGCACCTATGTACTAAATGAAAGGTGTTGTCCTTGCTCATGGTCTAATGACTTTAAGCTGGTAATCAGAAATTGGGAAGTGTGAAAGCAGTGTTGGAGGTATTTCTTTTCGCTTTTTTAAGAAGTCTACATTTGTGGTTTTTTGTTTGTAGTCTACTTACTATATGGAAGGAAATACAGGACACCCAGTGTTTCAGACACAGTTTGGAACAATTGCTGTGAATATCTGCTACGGGCGCCATCACCCTCTGAATTGGCTCATGTTTAGTATGAATGGAGCAGAGATCATCTTTAACCCTTCAGCCACTATAGGAACGCTCAGGTAAAATACAAACTAATCTAGGTCATTGCACGCTTTCTGGCTTAACTGAACCTCCGAGCCCCTTGCTTGGGGCCTCAGGGGCACCTTGCTGATGTCTTGGAATCTGAAGTATCACCTCCTTGTTTTGCCTTCACAAAAGAATCTGCATTCTTCTCCATCTGGAGTTTTGGGCTACCAGTCTGCTCATAGTCACTAATTCTCTTCCAGACCTTTAGCTGTACATCTGCAGGTCTTTTGTCTCTGAGACAGAGTTAACATCCAGCTGGTGTTCTGAAAACTAATGAGTGTTTATTTAGATTATCTATGTAATATTTTTGCTTTATGATAGGCAGTAGTAATTTACATTCAGGCTTAGCTTGCCAGCTTGCATCATCCACCTAGGAGCCACTAAGTATGGTATCAAATCGCAGTTTTCAGAGCCAAGCTGAGAAACCCTTTTCTCAGAAACTTCTTTTGTTTTAACCGTTGACAGTTTTGTAATTATCAGGCCTCTTGAATGAGACTGAACCAGTGTAAACTGTTTCCCTTGAGATTAATCTCCTGCAGATTGACATTAATTGCACCCTACTGACTTGATTTCCTAAAAGAAAAAAGAAAACCAACTCAGCTAAGAAAATACACTTCTTACCCTAGCCCATAATGATTAATTTGTGGATTAGATCTTGAATATCCTTTACCTATACATTATCAGCATCAGTCACATTTCAATATAATAACTTTTGAATGTGCCATGCTTCCAAAGCATTGTCTGACACAGGCTGTGTATTGCTTGGGATACTATAATGCGATGCAAAATAACTGCATTTCTTTGGGGCTGCTGGGGGGGCTTTCTTTAGGTAGAAACCTTGCAAAAATGGTTTCAGTGGTTCTTTATACCACTTCTTCTTGACCAAGTCACCGTGCCTTCCTTTCATTCTCATTGTATTCTGTTCTTTGCCATGCTACTCAGAGGTGTGGGATTCCAGAATGTGTCTACACATCACCTTAACACGACAGAAAAACTACGCTTTTTGTTTTTTCCTCTCCCCCCCCCCGCCCCGATAACAGTAGGCTCTGAAAAATAATTTAGTATTGTGTAATGTTTACATACATATGACTGAGGAAGTGATGGTAGTTTACACTTAATTATAAATATTAATATTTTTAATCCTTTTCAGCATAAGTGGTTAGCTTTGTACAGGTCGGGGGGAAAGTCTGGCATTGCAGAGTTCTTTGGAATAAAAACATTTCCTTTGTGAGTTAAAAAAACATGTTTTGGGCTAGCTGAACTGTCTTTCAGTTTCCAGCTGCAAATACAAGTTTTAGGAAGCTAACAGGAGCATATTTCATTGTTACCGATGATTTTGTAATACAAGTATAATATCCAGTAGCAAAAAAAAAAAAAAAGATACACTGATCTATTAATCTCTTATAGTACTAAAAATTCTTTCTCATTTCTCTTCTTTCTCCCTTCAGCTGGGCTTGTGTGCATGGACTAATTGCAGAATACTTTCATTTTTATTTCTTTAAACCTAGAAGAAGAGATTTTCCCAGTGTCAGTTTTCTAAACCTTAATGTATGAAGCGTTCAGGCAATATATACTTGCTAACTGAGTACACAAGACAATAGAAGTATTAGAAATGTAAGAGGAATATATTTTTTACCATTTTCCATTTCTTCAGGATTCACCCAATCCCCTCACTTTACCTGTTTAATGTAAATGTAGAGGTTTTCTGTCTGTTAGAAGGTCCAAGAATATTCACCCAATTTTTGTTGCTGACAAGCTAGAAAACTGAGGACATTGAGCATTCATAATAGGGTAGAAATGGTGAAAAACAGATTGGAAGCATACAATTTTCATACCCACAGACAGTGCAGATGTAGAGAACCATCTATTTACAATCCTGGAGAGCAGAACTGTAGGTTAGATGCAGTATTCTGTCGTTCAGACCGCCTTTAATAGTTTTTGTTATAAAAGATAATTTAGGTTGAGTAATGTTGGAAAAGGTCCTTTGAAAAGAGTTGAATGAATACACAATGCTTTTGGGGCATTTATGTCACTACTAGAATAATATTTGTGATGTTTGTCCACTTATAGCCCATTAACAGGAGAGCAAATAGAAATTACCCTGTTGTCATACAGCACTTCATTGGTACTCTGGGTGCTTCAGGCTCTCCTAATTATTGACTTTCACTTGATTGTTTTTAAGCATATAATTTTTATTGCAGGAAGAGGACTCTTGAGGCCCATGTAAAAACTGTCTCTGGGGTCGCTTCTTGGCTATAGCCTTTTTTCCTGTCTCTCTTCTTCTGTGAAATTGTAATTTGCTGGAGCTTTTCAATAAAATCCCATTTTCTTAGAAGAGCTGGCTGCCAGATTCAAAGCAATTGAGAAAAGAGGCAATAAACCAAGTCCTTTCAATCAGTCCAATGACCATCTCTTAAGATTCTTGAGTCTGACTGGGAGATTAATGAGTCAGATGCTTGCAACCTTGTCTTGGTACTCAGAATCTGGCAGGTACATGCTTGTCACAGGAGTGTACAAATTATATCACCTTTGTTTTGGAGCTCTGAGTACTTCCAGACCTCCCATTAATGAATCTGATCCCTGTGTATCAAGCTATTTAATAAAAAAAAAACTTTCCATTTTAAACATGAGTCAGAATTGAAATCTCCTTTGGGAAAGAGGTAGAGGCTCGTGAAAGAGAAGGAATTCTTTGTTCCTCATTTCTCAGTTCTTGGTTTTATGTAAATTCAGTGACTGGTTTAATGATAATTACTGGGAAGTTATCTGGATGCTTTTGTTAAACATGCTTTCTTTTTCATCAACCCACCATGGGAAAATGACTTACTGGGAAGTGCTATGAAAACTGTGGTTGAAATAACAGAAGTAGGAAATATTGGTGGAAATGGATTTTTCTTTTCTTTTTTTTTTTATTATTCCCATAATGAATTTTTTTTTCATTCACTGCTGCAAAAGTCTCTCCTGGACCATTTTGGGAAAAAAAGGAGACAACTTCTATGAATCTCTTACAGCTTTGCTGCAGAATGATGTTTGGTATATTGGAAGTTAATGGAACGTGAAAACACACATATTTGCGTAATTTGGAGGGTAAAATGTTTTACACTTTAATTTCTTTCAAAATCTTGAGATGTGTTATTTTTTTCTTTCTTTTGGCATGACAAAGCCATATTTACCATGTTGTTAGGTAGAATTGTTTATACCTATATTTGAGCAGAAAATAATAATAGTTCTTGGCTGTATCTGTGGGGAGATTTTGATTGTAAAAGCAGTATCAGTCTAGCAGCTAACTTTGGCTTCTTTGACAGAAAATATACAGTGTGAGACAATCATAATCTAAATTTAGCTCTGAAGTAGACAAGTAGTGAATACCTGCCTCCTCTTTTGTGTATTGCAGCGAGTCACTGTGGCCGATTGAAGCAAGAAATGCTGCCATAGCTAATCACTGCTTTACATGCCCCATCAACAGGGTGGGAACGGTACGTATCTTCACTTTGTTACTTCATTTCATAATTTAGGTGTTGTAGCATGAGATAATTCAAAGTAATGAACTGAATATCACTAGAATGCATAGATTCCTCTACTGTATAACTACTGTATTGGTGTTTATAATATGATTTGAAGATGGACAGGTATAAAGAGATTGAGAGCTGCCTTGTTGCTGGCAGCCTACTTTTTGGTTCCAGCTGCTTCCTGTTCTTGAATTGCTCTCTTTGTAATAGGCACCCGCCCTTTTGCTAATTCTCCTAGTTTCTATGGTGAAATAAGTATTCTTTTTAGCCAAAATGACTGAAAACGAAATATATCCTCGAGTCAGTGGTACACAACTGGTTGCTGTTGTCCTCTTCCTGGACACTGACATTCTATAATGAAAATTAATATTGCGTATGATAGGTTGTTCTTGCGTTCAGATTAGTCCATATACCCTACGTGTGTGTTCTTTTATAAGGATCTCTGCAAAAATCCAGACTTGTTCTTGCTGTTATGTGAATACCTTTGCTGCTTTTTGTGATCTGCAAAGATGTGTTCAGTTAAATGTCTCCTCTTTTGGCTCTTCTTTAGGCTCGTGAAACTGGTAGGAGGCGTGTTCCCCAAAGTGTATGAACTACAGGCAGTGATACAAAAAGATCTTATTTTCTAGCCTATCCATCACAGAAACTAAGCTCCTCTGATGACTCCCTTTAGACAGTGCTGATAGTATGCCAGAAAAAATCTTAATAGATTTATATAAACTTCCATACTAAATATGGTAGACTAGCAAGGATTTCTTGAATGTAATGGAATTATACTGCCACCTACAGACTCCTTTTATTTCACAGGAATACTACAAAAATGCCTTTACTTCTGGAGATGGTGGAAAAGGTATGTTCAGAAATCACATTCAGTGGTTGCTAATAACTGTTAACGAGAAAGTCTGAAGAAATAATAGCTCTCCTGCAAGTGTCTGTCCCATGACAGCTATGGTAGCTAGCAACTGCCTTACTTCAGACTGCTGTTTTGTAAGCTGGAGAGAAGCAGCACTCCTATTAAAGGTGGCGGTACCACGGTATGTAATCACCAAAAGTTCATACCTAAGGACTAAGAGTTTTGGAGTCAATGCAGTATTGTAGGACTGGAAGATAGAAATCGCACAGATTAGCCTGTGTTGTCAGTGCATGCATGACGCTTTATTTGTACTTTTAAGATTATTAACAGTAGTAGCCCTAGCCTGAATCCCTGGCTAAGCTATTTTGCCCTGTTTCACAGATTTGCTGGAAGCTGAAGAGAATGCTCTTCTTTGAGCATTCTTTGGGGAAAAAAGGAGAGAAATTTGTTTGTATGTACATCACTTGTATGTTTAAACACTGTAATTTGTCCTGTGACAACCATGACAGCTTCTAGCTTAATCTGGAGTGGGCCTGAGCCTTTTTTAGCTAGTTTTGAAGCTAATTGTTTGTAGCAGCTGCATCAAAAAGGTCAGTTGTATCCATTGCTTAGTAGTACAACAGATGTGGCTGATTTTTGGCACAACTCGGAGTTGTGCAATATGAAGTAAGATTTTTTTTTCCATACCTCAAATCCCAGTGTTTTTCACTTCTGACTTTGTATTGAAAATTGAATGGATGCATCTCCGTCAGCTGTTTTGGAAATGTGTAATTTGGCAATTAGAATTCATTTAAATTCTAAATAAAAAACAATGAAAGCAAAGCCTTTACTTTAGTTCAGAGACTTAATAATGGGAAAGCATAATAATGCATTATTTAAAAGGCAATGCAGTGAGTTTTTTCCTGTTAATTTGATATATGTGAAAGCTGTACCATGCATGAAAGTAACTACTGGTCAAAACTGCAGTTACCTTAGGATTGTCCTGTGACTTTTCAGCATATCTTGCTTAAAGCACAGTGAATGAGCAACCACAAGAAATTGACCCAGGTTTTGTGGGACACTGCATGTTAAGTTGTATACTTATTTGCAGATGGCGTTATACGTTTTTTAAAATTTCTTTAAGCACACCATGACTTGGGCCATTTTTATGGCTCAAGTTACGTAGCTGCACCAGATGGCAGTAGGACCCCTGGACTCTCTCGCACTCAGGATGGACTTCTGGTGGTAGAGATGGATCTAAATCTTTGCAGACAAGTCAGTGATAAATGGAATTTTAAGGTAAGCCTGCTTATAAAGAAACAAACTTACATATGATATTAGAACAAACAAGCTTTTGTAATAATCATATAATCTTAGAATAGTTAAAAGGCAGCCTTTTTTTAACAGTCCAAAACTTGAATTGTTGAACTAATTTTAACAGGGAGTTCTGGAGGCCAAAGCCATAAATGGATTAAGAAAAGGACTAGGCAGATTCAGGGAAACCAGGCCAAGAGCTTTTAAATGAAAAACTTAGCCTTTGGTCCTGAAGTGCAGATTGCCAGCCACTCCAAGGAGCGCTAGGTACATAGGCATTTGCCACTGAGCTGAGATGGGCCTTTGATCTGACCTAATATGGTAGTTCTTTATATTCTTACAGGCCTTAAGTGTCAGTTTTGGTGAAATTTAGTGAAAACCCAAAACCACAACAATCTTTAAGCTTCTGAGAACTTTCTGTGTGGAAACTTCTCGCAGTGTTGACTCCTTGAATTTGTGGACATGTTGAAGCCATGGAGAAAGATCTGTGTACGTCCATCTCTGAAGCATCCTTTTTTTTTTTTTTAAATTAATATAAATCAGATTGATGACTGCAAGTCTCTCCATGTGGCTTTAGCAAACTCATTTATTACTATTTTTTTTTCATTCTGACATAAAGCTAATTTGGATCATCTGTCCCGAGTGTGTAATTTGATTTAATTTGTCCAGCAGCAGTGCTGGCTTAAGAAATTGCCACCTCAGCACTGCAGTTGTGCCAGTACAAGCTATGTGGGGTGCTATATCATATACTGGTTTAGTGGAGTGACCAGATTTTTATTTTTTTTTAAACAAACAAACCGTGCTCTAGTTTCTTCTTTTAATCTGATCAAGTTTATGATGGGTCCCACAAATACTCTGTTGGAACAACAAAGAAGGCAAGCAAAAGGAGAAAAGAGATGGCAACTTCTTAAATAGGCTTTGTTGATGAAGAAAACATCTTGCCTACTTCTGTGGAGACAGGTCTTTCATTCTAGTCCTCATTACTGCTAAAGACTAGAACATTTTCCTATCCACTCTTAAGATCAACATGATTTGAATCCTAACAAAGGAGACCAGAACTCCTGGCTAGCACCGATCGCAATATATGTAGGTTCTTCAGTGATAATCTAGTATTTAAAATAAGTAATCATTTGCAAGGAGTGTTGATTTTTTCACATAATGTTACTGCAAGCAGACATTTATTTAATGGGGCTGGTTTATTTGGAACCACTTTGTGCATAACAATATAGGCCAATATATAATGTGTTTTGGTTTCAATTTGATGTAAAAACACAAAATTTCTGTGGATTTGAAATGCTAAATACAATTTTTTTATTAAAACAGTCATTTCTTAGCTAGAGCTGAATTTCTTTGGTAGTGCTGCCAATCCATATATAGGGACTGAAGACAAAAAGTAAACTCATCTTCTGGACAGAGTTGCATTTGTTATTTTACAGATGCATGTGGTAGGTATATGGTTGTTGACATAGTGGAATTAAATTGTGCTGAGAGATTCCCAAGTTTTTTTTAAGCCAGGCAGGCATTTAGTTTTGCTTTGCCACTGAAATCTGAGACTCTTATTGCAGAATAGAGATTTAGTGTGTCAGGAAGCACGTGGAGCATTGCTTATAACAGCAATACAAAAGCAATTGTATTGATTAGGAAAAAAACAGTAAAAGCAAACCACCGAGCTTTAGCTGTTTTGTATAGAATTGCTTATTTTTGTTGTCTTCAAGTCTTGTGCTTTCAGCACCTTAGTTTTATGTCAATGGTGTGGATTGCTATTGTTGGCCTTTTGGCACATAAGGCACAGCTGTGGCTTTTGTTTATATGACAAGGGATATCTATTTCCTTTTCCTCTCATTTGTGGCCAAGACAGAGGTAGCTCTTGATATGTTCGGAATGAGGAAGTATGAAGTCATCATTTATCCACTGCAGAAAACCCTTGATAGCAAGTAGGAACCTATTTAACCTGCTCTGGTATCTGCAATTTGCATTCAATGATGCCTGAAAGGGACATCGCATAGACTATCAGTGCTAAACTTTTCAGCAGCAAAATAGCTGAATGAATTATCCTCATTACACTCTGGCAAGAAGGAAGTAGTTTGCCCCTCTCAGAGCCCATGTTGCGGACTGCACGTCAGAAGAGGATAGTGCATTACACAAAGTGCTAGATTTCAGCTTCCTAGCATACTGTATCACCCAAAGCAATGATAATACTCTGTATTATTAATGGATAAAGTAAGAGCAACCCAAATACTGTCAGTGGCACATATGCAAGCTTACTGCTGGCAGTAGGGTTCATCAGTTGTCAAGGACATAAGACATAATTACAGGTATGCTCCTTTGCTTTCATTGACATAATTTCTTATGCATCAATAATATTCTCTTTTAATTAAAGTCCACCTTTCACATTCAATTTTCAGCTATCCAGGATAACCAAAATAGCCTTCAGTAATGAGCAGACATGACTGTCAGTGAAGGAGAGATGCAAAGCAGGAAGGTGTTCATTTGAAAGTTTTACTTTTTAGAGAGGAAATGCACTTCTGGTTTTTTGGTAGAAGTATAGCTTTCATAACAAAATGTGAGTTCTTTTATAAAACTGTATTAGTTTGTGCTAAGACACTGGAAGTCTTGCATTTTGAGTGAATTTGATTTTACTGTTTGAGGCAATTAAATAATATGTCATCATTAAAAAAATGGTTGGATATAAATATTTCCTATTGAAGTACTTTCATAGCTCGCTAAAAGAACTGAAGCTTTGATTTTTCTTTTCCAGATGACTGGTAGATATGAAATGTATGCAAACAAGCTCACTGAAGCAGTCCAGCCTTATTTCATACCCAATATAATCAAAGAGTAAGAGAGAGCATCTCATTACAATCAGATGTTACATAACAAATTAACAGGTACTGTTGGGTGATAGCTTTACTGTGGATCACAAGTTGTTATTTTAATGTTGTCATTTTAATTTCTTCTAACCAACTTTTAAATAATAGGATTCAAAACTGTGTGAAGTAAAATCATTTTAAAAATGGCTTCTTGGGGTGGTTTTTTGTCATTTACACTAATGAATCCAACCTTTTGTTCCTTACTAGAAATTTATCAAGTAGGAACACATTGATATAAAATGATGATGAAATTTATTCAGTACTGTGCACTGTGATACAGTTTGATGACGATGAGTTCATTTTTTATGTAAGCTTTGCATTGTGTGTCTATTCACTTCTGCTTTCCAGTTTTTACCCTTTACCCAAATGCATAATTTAGGGAGAAAGGAGGCATAAATTGTTTTCTTTTTTTTTTTTTAATTACAAATTATTTGATGCAGTTCTCTTAGAACTAAGTAATGTCCCAGACATGTCCTAGTTGTTTGAAGACAAGACCACTTTCATTCTTTCTATTTCCCTTTACGCTACATATTAGAACCACACTTGGACCAATGTGTTTGATGGGCTTCTTCAAGGTGCAAAAGTAGTGCTGCAGACAGACGCTTTTAATATCTTCAGAAGCTCAGTGCTTGTGTTGTGAGGCAAAAATAGAAACATTAGCTTAAGCATAGGTAAAGCTGGTGCAGTTGCATGCTTTTCATTGTGAACAGAAAGCCGTGGAGATGCTATTAGCAAGATGGGTAATGAAAACTACTTCCCTGGAGCTGCACTCCAGGAGGATACTCAGTGGTTGCAGAGCACACAAAACAGCTGTTGAATATAGAAAACACATTTGCTATTCTCAGCTACTTGTGTATATTGAAATTTTGTTTTGTATGATTCATGTGATGCAGTAGGTGTTCAGGAAGTGCAGAATGAATACAATTTACAGCCTAGCAACTACGAATTTATAGCTGAAACAAATATTTGAACTCTTATTTTTTTTTCCAAATTACAATGTCAGCTGTGCCATTTCCAGTTAAGTATATAACACGTCCGCTAAAGATTTTTTCAAACATTTTTCATGAGCTAGTTAATAAATGCACTTGCTACATTATATTACAGGGTAATCTGTGACTTTAAACCTTTATTGAGAATGGCTTAATTACAAATAAAAATATATTTATGTATAAAATCCCTGCATGTAAAATACCCCTTCCTTTGCTGTTGACATCGTGAAGGAAACAAAGTGACAAAACATTTTCAGAATGAGTATTTTGATTAGACAATCTTGTAATGGGAAACAAGAGATTCAGAAAAGGCAGATGTTCTGGTTGCTTGTGCAGTGAGCTGCTTTTTAATCTGAATTTGTGTCACATAAATACTCAGTCTTTTCACCTGGCTTTTGTTTCTTCCTTGTGTTTTTATCTCTCATAGCTGTCTTCCATGTGATGGCTATAAGAGATCCTGTTGCAATGGTGGATCTCTCCTTTTGCCTGTATGAGCTTCAACGGCTTTGTTTATCTTTCAGTTTTGTTGAAGTATTTAAACCCTGGGTACCAAACATTTAACAGTCAATATTGTTACACCTATCGGTGCACTTCAGAATGCTTAGCATGCCCTTAAGTTCATGTTATGTATAACGTAGCATTATGCATAACACGAAAGCTATGTATAAGCTCAAGATTCGCATTTGGATAACTGAACCAGTAATAGGCTAAATGTCAATTACAAGCTTTTTGTAAGAACTGCTTTTATTTAACTAACCAAGCCTGCTCTAAAATAAACCCTGTGGCAGTTTAATGGCATTGAATGAACTACCTACCTGAAAATGCATGGGTTAAGGCGTACTCTATCAACCTGTAGTTTACATACCTGTTAATTAGTAACTTAGCTAATACAATCTCTCTAAGTCAAACATCATGAATTTGGACTTGGACATAAAAATTCCCAAATCAGTAGCCTTCTGGTGACTTGACTTTGGAGGAGTCAGAAGGCATTCTCTGTAATAGGTTTTGTATCTTTCTTTCCTGGGATTCTGCTAGTGGCACTAATGTAGTGGTTCTACTGGTCACAAATCACAACCTAATTTTTACCCATTTTGCAAGTATAAGTGCCAAAATGTATTCCATCTTCACCAATGATAAACAAAATTTGATACACTGAAAATTTCTTGTCACGTACTTTTTGTTTGGAACTTTTTAAAGGCTACTGCATTTTAAATGTCTGTTACTAATTTTAGCTTTTGTACGAAGGAGCACTCTTGATTCTACTAAGCATACTTACTGAACGCTTTCCAGCTACTTTTCAGTAAGTCAACAACTGATAAGAGAAAATGTTTTCTCTTAGAAAATTTACTGTGCTGAAAGTAGATTCCCATTTATTATTTCCACCACTAAATAACAATGTCCTTTTACTATTATTCCACGCAGTTCCAGAACTTGGAACAGTTCTTTTCCTAAAACCATACCAAAGGTGTGGGAGCTCTGTCTTATAAATTTTGCTAGCTTTACATCAGTATTAACATTGATTTTTCTACCCACTTCAACAAGTGGAGATCAAGACTTGTAGGAAATAGTGATTGATGAACCTGAAATACGGTGGCTGTTTCTTACACTGTACAGTGCTCCTCAGCAAAGTAATTAAACCCAGGTAATACATGAAAGGATTATGAATGGGCTGGTAACAATATCACTTGATAATGTCTGAATACAGTAACTCCAGCTTAATCCAAATACAGCTGCAGTGTAACAGCTAGAAAATCTGAGTTCCTGCCTTTTTACTTGTAGCAAAGAGATGTGTGTATTCCCTCTTAATTAATTTCAGCTCTTCTTAAAAGGTCACTGAACTAATACCAATAGCAAAATTTGGCTCAAATTGATTCAGCATTTTAGTTACAGTCCAGTATATGCTGTCAGATATTTACAATTTACACACAAAATGTATACTATTAGTGTGGATGATAATTTTCTGTATTTGCTTAATAAGTTTAAAGTTTGTATTTACAATGGATTCTGCAGGAACTGGCATGTGTAGGTGGCATAATGTTCAAAGGTTGCAAAGAGCAATAAAGACTTCTAGTACAAATGAAATACCTTCACTTAAACTTCTGGGGCAATACAGATCTCTGAGCAGTCATCCTAGAGGATTTAGCCAGACGAGATTGAGTTTGTAGTACAAGGGAACAATTCCAATAACTACGATTTAAAATTTAATGCAGTGGCATAAATGCTAAATCTGTGTAAGATGAATTTGGGACATGGGAAGTTTGCTTGAGTAAATGTGTTTCATTCTTACAATGCAGACAATACTGATGAGCCAGCAAGGCATTTTTTGTTATTTAAGTGGTTTAAATTAATATTTTTTCCTTCTATAATACCCTGCTGCACCTCAAATCCTTAGTTTAGGATGAAGATCAGCCCTTGATGCTTTGACAGAGAGAAACAGGTATTTTCTGGTTGTTTTTTTTTCCCCTGGTTTTGTTTACCTAAACCTATGCATGTATTAAAGTGTTAAAGTTGATAAGTTTGGTGCTTTTTTCCTCATGTGTTTAATTTGAAAATAAGCTTAAAGTGAACAGGCTCTGGGCCTGTATTTTAAAACTGCTGTCAAATGTGCAATGTTGAAAATGAGAAAAAAAAAAAATCTGAGACACACATTGCAAAATTAGATACATCATCAGGAAAAAAAAGTAAAGACTAAAGACAGCATTGCAATATAGTCCTATCAATGTCTATAAAGCCTCCCTTGTTTAAGATCCCACTGCAATTCATGAGCAAGGTCTCTGCAGGGGAAGTCCTGAGACAAGCAGCCAGCTGCCATGCAGACTGCACAGGAAAGGACAGAAGTACCCCATGTGGATGTCAGCTGTCTGTGTAGATGAACAGAATATCTTCATCAGTGCCGTAACTTGTCCTGGCTTCCTCAAAGTTACTGATGCTGGTGCAGCATGTTCCTGTTAAGAAGGAACAAAATATTACTAAAAATTCAGAAGAATTTCCCTGTGAAAGGCTCTTATACTGGGTCTAGCAGCCTCTACAAAGAAAAGTAACTAGTATACAGACTAGACCTGTCAGCTTAGGTGACAGCTGTACTCAGATCTTTTTCACCTCCAAGGCAGTGCTTACTGAAGTAATGCCCTAAGTAGGTACTAAATTGGCCATCCTATTATATTCTGAACAATAGTTCAGCATCTCCAGCTAACCCATCTGGAAGCCAAACAAGTTTACTAGAATGTGTATCTCAATGCCTCAAGTAAATCACAGCACAAAATGCAGCACTGATTTAATTAATGTGGCAAACCCCCTTCTGGAAAATTGGTTAGCGATGTTTGAAATACATGCACGCTATTAGGGAAGTCCAGCTGTGGCTCTGTATTACAGACATGTTAGCAGTGTGGTGGCTGAGAAGCCACCCAAAAGGAACAGACTACTCACGGTCAGCATAGGCAGGGTTGTTGTAGTAAATACTCCCTGAGGCTTTGTTGTAGCCACATAACACGATGAAATGGCCCTGGTAGTCAGGATTCCTGCAGAAGCACTTCTGTCCAATAGGGAGGAAGCAGCAGTATTTGACAGGACTTGAGCAAAGATCACACAATAGCAGGACTGCATTCACTAGCACGATGGCTACATGACCTTGGGACAGGTGGTTTTGGATGTCTTGAACAGTTACTGTGCTGCAGAAAAAAGATCAGACATGCTTATTAAGTTTAGGAAAGAGACTGGTATACAATGAAGTATGTGATGATGGACAGTATTTATGCAGCTGGCATGGTTATTTTTATATCACAGGTACAGCTTTTTGCTCTTGAACCCTGCAAGCTTTGCTACAAAGCCTGACAAAACGCGTGTCATTCAAGGCCTTTTGATCTCACTGCTGCTGCTGAAGTGCAGAGCAACAGCTCTGGATTCTGCAGTAATGCAAATGTAATCTCAGAATGTATGAGATGCCCCAGAGAACAGTATTAAAGGAGCTGGCAACTCATTCAGTAACTTGAGAAACTTTTGTTGTGGGAAAATTGTAAGTGACGTGTTCTCTCCTGCTTTTAGAAAAGCTTATCTCTGAAGCACCAAATCTTAATCGACTGAGTTGTTACACATTGTATAATCACTAACTAAACTCAGATTTGCCTCTGTCACACAGGAATATGTTTCTCCCAGTTGCAATTTTGGACTACCTGATGCTCTTGAGGCTTTATTTCTTAAGTACCTCCTACAGAGAATGAGCATTACCCAAACATAACCTATAATCTCATCTGTTAAAAGTTGTCCTTCACTGAGGCAGATGGCATATTCCATATCCATTAGAAACTCATCCCTTGGATATGTTCCAGATGTCCAGGCTGTGTGCACTAACCAACTGAACTCGTGCTTTTTAATCTTTTCCAGTGCCACTTCTCCCCTTTGCCCCATCCTCAGCACTGCACAGGTAGATGTGCCCTCTGTCCCTGCCTGGATACAAAAAAGATGGACTGACTGTCCCTTCTGTCCTGTCACAGCTCTAGTTAAACAGATGGTGCCATACAGACTCTGTGTATGTTGAAAAGGACGCTTAACGATTCTGCTAAATGAAAGTTGCATTGCAGCATTCAAATGCTGTTATGGCTGCCCTGTACCCTCTATTCTTTTCTTATTCCTAATCATTTACCCCACTTTGGCAACACAGATCCAAATCCAACTTCAGTATAAAAAGGGATGCAACTCAAGTTGAACACGGACACTTAGTTATTTCCCATGTAGAATATCACGGTCGGTTGTGAAACAGTTCTGCAGCTTTTCCCCTTCTGGGTTTGCAGTTCTTTCATAGAGGTTCCTTATTTCATCATCCCCTTGGCAAGAGCTCATATGCTAGCTTTTTCTTTGTGCATCTGTCTAGGAACAGAGAGCTATAATGTTTGCATAGCTCTGGGAACAATGGGTTGCATACCCACGTAGCACACTCCTTAATTCCAAAAATGGCAAAGTAGAGTACTGTAGACACTCCCTACTGGGTAATCTTAATGGATAATCAAATTCAAAACATAAGTAATAGTCAACTCCTGTCAGCATTTTTAAATCACTTATTCTGTGTGGTGATTATTTTCCCTCAAACTTCATTATTAACTCTTGATGTCCACTTTTTGTTTTTTTTGAGACACATAGTAGAAAGACTCTGTAATTCACAAAACAGGCTCAGGGCCTGATTTCCGTCTCTTTCTCCAAGGAAAGCATGGGTCCCAGAGAATCTCCAAAGAGAAAGGAAAGAAAACAGTAAGCTTACCACTTCTCTACCAGCACCTTGCAGGCTTTGGCTTGTGCAAAGAGCTGATTCACTCGATTCTCTTCTGTGTCAAAGTGCTTCCTGTAAAATGACTGTGGAGATAACAGAAGTTACAAACTGGAATGATGTTTACCTTAGGTAATCCACCACTTACAGTCCCTGCTAGCAAGGGCCTGCATAAGTTGGAGATCTGGCTATGGGTTAAGAGATCGCTCCCTTAGTTCACTGGTAACAGGGTAAGGATTCCTGCTCTGAATTTAAATTCACTCCTGGTCAGTTATTGTTGTAATTTCCATCCAGTAGCTATTCAACTGCCTACATGACAGAAGCCTGTCTGGTTCGTACTGGGCAGGAGCTTGAATTTGAAAAGCCATTGTCACAATAGGCACTCTTTGGCAATCTTGGAGAGGCCAAGCTCTCACTGGATGTGGAGGCTGAGTTCCCCTCTCACCTCTAGAGGTGGTTCTTCCAGGTCAGGGCTGAGGCACGGTGGTGGGGAAAGTGGACGCTAGCACTGCTGCTGCCCAGGCTGTACCTGTTCTGTAGATAAATAGAGGGCTTCAGTCTCCAAGGCTGTCAAATAGGCTTGAACCTTTCATGAGCACTATATGAAAACTTTTTAAAAACTTTGTATTATGGAATCAAAGATGTAAAATATATGGGATCATATCTAGCCTTGCCTTTGGAACTGATTTGTGCCGATTTTGCAAACAGGCAAACCTTGTTTACAGGAACTGTGGTTAATTGTCAGTAACACAGCAGAGCTTTTATAGCAGGACACACAGGGCTTTTAAAACTCTCCTATGTCTCCCAGTAGATAAGAACACTAACCTGGTTTTTGTAGCCCTTGTCCACCCCAAGCGTCTGGGTGCAAAATTTATGCTTAACACCAAAGTGCCGCATTAGGTAGGCCAGGTCAATAGTCCAGATGCTCTTTGTTAACTGGAGTTCCTGGATGGCTTTCTGAAATTCATCATTGTCCAAATGATTCAGGTACCTATGGTATTAGGGAAGGCAGGGGAGGGGAAGCACAGATGTTAGGAGAAGCAAAACGTGTGCAGCAGCCCAAGTCTCCACATCGCAGGACATAAAAACTGAAACAATGGGCTTGGCTAACAGATAACAAAAAAAAAACCACCCACAAAGGAGCCACAAATTTAAGGGAAGGGAGTAGGGAATATTGAACTGGATCTGTTGCTGACTTTTTAATTGGAACTGTATGGGTATCTTGACTCTTTTATAGTGCTAGAAGTGTACAGGTGCTGTACAATAGGCAAGCTATACTGAGCAAGTATAGAACTCTGTCCTGAAGGGCTTACGGTCTAAATGTACAAACATTAGAGCAAGCACAGAAAGAAGCGTTAAAGACTAAAACTTGTTTCACGCAATAGATGGATTTCAAAAAGAGGAACTAAAGGAAGTCGGTAAATATTCAAAGGAAGCTCGTCTTAGGCACTGATGGCACAAAAGGCAATAAAGGGGAGATGAAGTCAGGAGGAAGCTTGGGACAGCTTGCAAAGGGGTAGGGAGAGGCAGTTACAGAGAGTTCTGGAAGTCAGAAAACAAATGGAAGTAAGTGGAGAGAAAAAAAAGACTGGAATTGAGAATGCAGGGTGAACAAGGTCAGATCAGCAGGGTGAGAAGATTAATCTTGGAAGCTGAGTTTTGTGCAGACTGGAGTGGCAAAGAGGTAAAGGGAATAAAGAGGCAGAGGTTACAGTAGTCAAGATGGGAAATTACCAGCACACGGACTAACGTCTTGGCAGAAGGGATGGAGAGAAATGAAAATCTTCTGCTTCATATCTACTAAGTGGACATCTAAATAGGTATTTCTCCTGCACCTAAGCTCATGTTCCTCTGTGGAAGGAAAGAGGAATTCAGCAGGACAGCTACTAGTTCAAAAAAAGAAAAACCAAACAAAACAAACAAACAAAAAAAAACCCCAAAGGGTAATACAGTGCATTGTTTTGAAATTGTAACTACTTGTGGAACAAAACCACTCATCCCACAGATCGGGGGCTCAGCAGGACAGAGGCAGTATATACTCATCAACTGGGATACACCTACTTGTCACTTGAAAACACGGAAAGGAATTGGGTGAACTGCTGTGCTAAGTATCAGTTCTGAATTGTAACAACAGGAGAGAGGGGTAACTTTTTAGTAGCTTAGGCATGCCAACCTGTGAAGTTCTTAGAGCTGATCAGATATCTTGCATCTGTCAAAACAGTCAATTACTGAAAAGGGTCTTAGGTTCATCTTAGTTTCTATTTTCCCTTGCTCCTTCTGAAGAGCTGTGCAAGGCCCAAGCAGCAGTTATTCTCCAAGGGTAACTGACAATATCTGATCTCGTAAGACTCAAACTCACAGCTGCTTCAGCACACCTCTTCCCTGGACATTGCTTCCCACCACCCCTCTCCCGTGAGCTGGGATTTCCCACCCATTCAAACCAAGAGAGTCACTTACTGAAGCACCATCCTGGAGCAGGCTAGCCCGCAGTCCCAGTGGTACAACTGCTGAATGACTGGCACTTTCAGCTGGATGCAGTCAACTGTAGTGAAAACACCCCATTGTGAGTAAAACACAGAAGTAGATTCATACAGGAATATTTTTTCCATACCTCAGCATTAAAAGTCCTCAGCACTATAGTGGCAGAAACTTAGAAACTTCATCTGATTGGCAGGTATTTTCTTTCTTTCTTTCTTAAGGGAATGTAGGTTTGGTATTTCTGTACAGTTAAGCGTGTGGTTTAATCTCCTATTCCTTTATTGATCCATACCTGGATCACTGTGCTGTATGGTTCACTCCCTTTTCCTAGGGAGTTTCATTTTTTTCTTTTTTGGTGGGGTGACATACCCACCAGCCTCTAACGATGAAGCTGTATCCCCTCCTAAATAATAGTAGGTAAGGCACAGGTATTCATCTTTTCTCTTGTGTCTGAATGTATTTCTGTGCCACAAAAGGTGTTAAACTGTGAGAAACCAGACACACCAAGATCTCTAGGTGTTAATCTCTTACAAGTCCCACAGATTTGAGCCTTGTCTACAGATGTCCTTTTCCTGTAATTTACGTAATTTTAGGTTAACAAAACTCATAAATGGCACCTGTCGGCCTCTTGTATTAACTCCCTCAATAACTCAACAAAGGGAGAGGGAAAAAGAACAATCTCAGCCAAAAAGTCCCAGAATATAAGTAACTCCATCGCTCTGCCTCAGTTTTTATTTTTACAGGGTTGGTAGTGTGGTGGTTTCAGAAACGCCCTTACCACTTGCAGGACTTGAAGTGTGCCTGTTATTGCTACTTCAATGTCAAAGTGAGTTAATCATAAAGGGCTTTTCTCGATAACCTTTGATCTAGAAAAGACCTTTGAAAAGTTTTGTTAACACAAGGTCAACTACCTTTAAGATGGCAATAAAAATGCATTAAGATCAGCATAGACTGGTCTAGTTTTGCTGTAATTTTATTTATAAAACTTTTTAGATAATGGTGCTTGTAATCTTACATTATTTTCAGCAAAGCTATAGCCTACTGTAGGCATAAGCCAATACAGATATTCTGAACTTTGACTCCAAATATTTTTCCATAGTTGTGCCACTGTTTAATCCTGTCTTTGAAGACTGGCATACCCATTGGTATATCCAGTCTTTCTAATTAATCTAAATTACTGTGCTTCGATTATCCCAAAGAAAAAATGAAAACCCAATTCCCAGATTCTCCTCAAACCAGGATCTGTTAAGTATTACCATTTTTTTCTTGGCATGTTATGATGCTGGGGCCTTTTTGTTAATACCCAGGGCCTCTGTCAAGTCCCAAGACGAACTGAAGAGGTGCACGTTTTCTATGTGAAGATTTCTAAGGGTAATAACTTTCATTTTCTTGGATGTTCAGCTTCCAGTCATCCTGTTTCCCAACACACCTAGACTTCAGTGGTGACTGTCAGCTGTCCCGAGGTAGGATACCAGCCGTACAGCCTGAACTGTGCCTGAA